CAGTGTTACTGGGATGGTTGGGGGAAGGAGCTCCAAGTCCCCCTCTGTAATCCCCTTCCCAGCACCACCGGCAGTGCCCACCCCAGGCACCACCCTGGCTTAGCCCTCCCGCTTCCCACACCCCCTGGGCGAGCCGGTCATGGCCCTGTCCCACATCCCACCCCACCCTGGTAGATCAGCGCCTGCCCGTGCCCCAGCTCCACTCCCTCTCTTAACGTGGGGGCCTCCACCTGCCCCGCCATGCTCCTTCCCTCCCCTCCTCTCCACTCCTTCCCTTCCAACAGACTTACCAGCCAGATGCTGCTCTCCATGCTGCTGGGATGGCCATCTGCAGGCTGCAGCCGTGCACGTGCACGCAGCATTTATCGGCAACATTATCAGTCACATCAGCCAAAAAAAGCCAATTGCCGATAATGTCAATTTTCATTTTGTTGGTGCTGATATGATATGGACCAATGTATTGGTACACCTCTACTTAAAATCCCATTTTTAAAATACCTGGAACTAAGACACTTTTCAACACACTCCCAACCACTGCTAAAGCTCAGTAGAAATATGACAGAATGTGAGGGTCGCACCTATGAAACACACAAGCCTTTTGTCTGTGTTATACAAAGCAATTTTAGATAGCCATATAAAAGAAAAAATATATGAGTAAGTAGGCTACTGATAGTGGATCAGAAATTAGTGCAGAAGAATGGGAGACAATCTAGAGACACAGATAGTATAGAGCTTTGATTCTTCAGTCAGTCTAAGCTGAGCAACAAGGATTTAGCCGTGGCTCTGACCAGAGCTGCTTGAAGTGGAAAATAAGGCACCAAAATGATAATCCTAACCTATGCCATCAGTGGAAAACTTGTATTAATGAAAGATCAAGCATAGAGGAGCTCCACTGCACCACACACCATCAACTCCTGCCCATATCCAGTCCACGATACATGCCCTTCTTTCCCTTTTATGGGGCATGGAGAGGCAGCTGATTTAACAGAACAGTCTAGAGGATGTTCTCTACTGAACAGAGTTGTGCCTGTTTAAAGCCACTGTGCTAACTGAGTAAACTGGAGAATCTTTCTTTTTCAAAAGAAACTGCACAAAGAATGTAAGCTTCAGTCAAAGATTCACCCACGCTAGCAGGCTAGAATTGAAGGCTAGTTCTTATAGCCAACACCACATAGGGGAATGACCTGGCTAGTATCAGGTACAGCCACTCTTGCCTCCCCTGCTTGAATGATCAGATACTTGTTTATGTTTGGGATGATAGGGAATATCCTTTCGCATGAGTCTGGAGCAAGGCTTACTGTCATTCCTATGGAGCTATAGCAAGAAATCTTAAGTGTTTTACCACCTTGCCCCCTAGCAGGAAGACCTGATGGAAGAAAATCTGTAAAATTTCAGCTGCAGACATAGTAATGGTAGCTCTTAAGATTTATATAGGTTACAAGAGAGATAAAGAATGAGAAATTCTTGAATTCCTAATTCTGGATTTTCTTGTTCCATCTTGAGACTTGAGAAAAAGTTATAAGTAATATGAATATTACAACAGAGATCCCATGGAGGAGTCTGTTGGAGAAGATGGATTTATTTGCATAAGCAGAGGCTGGGAAAGACCTTTCAATTGAACTTGTGACCCAAGATCTCTTACACACTCACCAATCCCAAACATCATTAGTCTGTTTGGTTCTCACTCAGTACTCAATAGGTTTTCATTTTATTTGTGAAAAGAAGGGAATGTTTATTGAAATGTTTCCTCTTTTGTTCCTACAGTCAGGTGCAACTGCTCTGTTCTTTGCTGCACAACAAGGCCACAATGATGTTGTGAAGTTTCTCTTTGAATTTGGAGCCTCAACTGAATTTAAAAATAAAGTAAGAGATTGGTCTGTTTTAACATGCTTGTTGATTTGGGCAGTAGCAACTGGCATTTCCTGTTGATCCAAGACATAGTATGATAGTGAAAGAATCATAAAAGGATTTCCTGATTTGCCTGTTTTCTGAGTAGTACAAGTAATGCGGTCCACTAGCAAAATATTAACTCGGGGTTAGACTTTACTGTCTTGACTTGATTGTGTGAGTTTTGTTCCATTTCACTACATAGTGTAGTTAAAGATTATGAAATCTTTAATGAAGAGTTCAGCCCCTCTTCTTGTGTTGTCCCAAAAATATAAGAACAAAAGTGATTTGAGGTGGATACCACAGTTAGCGGACATATGCTTTCACATACCCGTGTGCAAGACCTGATTTTTTTTTTTCTATTAACAGTCTCTATTGGGGCTCTGCATTCACCCTATTCTCATGCGCCCATATGAAGGTATAAGGGTAGAATGGCAGCGGCCCTCCCTTATTTCGCACTGACTGAGTATGGCAGCAAAATGGGACTCGGAGACTATTCAAGCTGCTAGGACTTAGCGCAGGCAAACCTTCCAAAGTCTCTCAAAAGCATTTCCAGTTTATTTCCATTGCTGTGCTCTCATTTCACCTCACTATACCAAACATTTTTGTTCTAGATCTTGTACCTGGCAGATTCTCCCCACCCCCTGTGGTATGTGTATGGTGCAACGGTTCTCTTGTACGGGATTCTTAAAATGGTGGAATCAAAATCTGTGGGCTTCAAATCCTGCCCATCTGTGAACCGGTCTCTTATAACACAGGCACAATTGCTTAGAAGTTGTGATTTTTACCTCTACTGAGGTTTAAAAAAAAAAAAAAAAAA